CTTTTTAGATGATTTCAGGAAATAACACATTAAGTGTCATAAAAAATGTTGAAATAACTTTTAAGTGTTCCACTGCAGTATGAAGGAAGCATTGAGGAGAACATACAAGGTGTGGAGGTGATGAGGATCCAAGCAGAGGACCTAGATCTGAAGGCCACAGACAACTGGAAAGCTGTCTTTAATATTGTCAGAGGCAATGAAGGCGGGTATTTCAGCATTAAAACAGACCCCAACACCAACAAGGGCATCTTAATGCTTGATAAGGTACAGCAGACAAAATTTCAAAGAAATTTATGTTATGCAGTCTGTTGTGAGATGCATTTATTAAATGCTGGCAGGATGCCCCTTACATGAGGACATATACACTCATAATACATGACATACTTTTATTTACATGATCCACTATTTCAGTTTTATTCTTTATGTCTGCCATTTCACAGCCTGTGGATTATGAGAATGTGAAGAACTTTGTATTGGGGTTAACTGTAAGGAACAAGGCCCCACCTTTTTCTGGAGGATCATCTTGGCAATGGGGGGGAGAATATAAAATCTATCCCATCAAAATCAATGTAAAGAACCAGCTTGAGGGGCCACATTTTGATCCCAAAGTCAAAGCTATAGCCATCTCCAAGAAAGACACCTCCTTCAACATTACAGATGTTGTTGCTAGCAATCCTGCAATAGATCAAGATACTGGAGAACTGGCTGAGAATGTCAGGTCAGTGCATACACATGAAACAAGAATTACATGTTATCTTCTCTTCCTAAGTACAATAATAACTGGTTTGTGGCCTATCTCTGATGTAGGTATGCCAAAGGCTCAGACCCAGATAACTGGTTGACTATTGACCCAGAGACAGCTGAGATCAAACTCAACAGGATACCTGACAGGGAGTCTCCATACCTGGTCAATGGGACATATTTTGCCAAAGTACTCTGCATTACAAAAGGTACAGAATGAATGCCATTAGCCTCTCTCTGAAGAAAGGAAAAACCAAAAAAAAGGGGAAAAAAGTGATGAATTATATATTATTATTTCTGTTTTTACATCACAGAAACACCTGCTAAAACAGCTACTGGTACCATAGCCATCCAGTTGGAAAATTTTAGTGACCACTGCCCTATCGTGACCAGTGACATCGAAACTATGTGCACCACTGAGAATTCTGTTATTGTGAATGCTAACAATGAGGATGCATATCCTAATGGACCTCCTTTTAAGTTTGAGATTATCCCAGAAAATACTAAAGGGAAATGGCACATGGAGAATCTAAATGGTGAGGAAATTACTTCCAATCATTTCAAATGTATCTAGTTGTATCTATACAATAGAATAAATACAATAGAAAAATATAATAAATATATACATAAATGCATGATATGTTGGAATTTAGTTTATCAACTTATATTTCTGTTTTCCACATTTTGTAAAGCAAATTTACTTCAGTTTTTTTTATTTTACAAATAAGAGGTTATACTACCAGTAAACTTGTCAATCTCCAGTGGACTACCAAAAAGTTGTGGTATTCTGCACTTCCCCTTTTGTGTTTTGTCCTGTTCTGATTTAATGCACAATGGTGTCCCACTAGTTGGTCTTGTTAAGCGTACACTATTTTACAGAGTGACATATTTCCTATCATGAACTACAGTACATGTGCCTTCTCAAATCCCCATTTTGCTCAATGACCTGCAAATTGTATGCGTAGCATTCTCTACCTTAGAGTCCTGTTGAAAATAGTTGCAAAAAAAAGAAGAAATCCATGTAGCTGATGTGGGCCAGAGTAACTTAGCCCTGATTAGCTATCCTCCTGCAGGTCTCCCTGAATATTAAAAACAGAATCAGCAACATCTTGTCTAGCATGCAAACTACACCAGTCTGTTGTCAAAAAACAGAAGTTCATCCACAATATAAATGCAAACAATACGAAAATGCTGCCAGCTGGATGCATACAAATGATGATAGAAGCTTTATCACAAAGAATGCCTATTGATATATAAGGAGAGATTGCCTTTACTTTGGCTGGTGTTAGTTGGTGTCTGTTTTTAGATTTCACTTGGTAAGCACTGTTTACCTTGCTTGCTCAGATAATAATTCCTTATTATCAGGTTGGTCTAAAAGCTAGCTGAAAAGCCCTCAGTCAGTGAAAAACTGCAGTAAGAACACTAGCAATATTGGAAAGAGAGATAATGTTTCTCCTATATTAGCTTCTTTTCATCAGCTCCCTGTTAAATCCAGATTTTTTTTTCAAATCTTTCTCACATAGGTCTTGAATATTTCGCTATTAGGTGATAGGGTCTATTTAGACCCTATCACCTAATAGCATCATATTAACCTAACAGATGACTTTACTCTCAGACTGCAAGTTTACTTGTTGTTACTAGAATTTCTTAAAGTAGAATGGTGAGACAACTCTCAGCTTTCTGTTGTCTAACCGCCTAACTGTTTGGCTTGGGGAAGCAGAGATCTTCTAGACTTTTTAGCCTTCAAACTTTTCTTTTTGATAAAGTTTATAGTTAGGACTACATCATGTCCCCCTGAACCATTGCTAATGTTGTGCTGTTAAAGGGTGGGGGTCTTCCCATGATGAGCATTTCTTCCTTACACTCTCTTTTCACTTCCCATGTGCCCCCAACGAGCGGGATGATAACTTTTGTGTTTTCTTCCACCCCACCATCACCATGTGCTGCTCATAGGCGATCATCCGATTGCTGGCGTTCTCTCGAATACTGTAGGCTCTTTGCTGTAGAATTTCAAACACGCTGTGTTATGTAAATAAAACTGATTTCAAATTAATTTAATTCTATTTAATTTAATCTGTTAGATTGTCATTTCAGGAATAATATGTATTCATTCTGTACATGTGTAACATCTCTGTGTGGTTTCTGACAGATACTGCGGCTATCTTGCGGGCTCAAAACCTCATGTGGCCGGGTATCTATGAGGTGGAACTGGTGATTAAAGATCAGCAGGGAAAGGCCTGCCCAGAACCACAGAGAGTCTGGGTTCGAGTATGCACGTGTGAGGATGGAGTTTTGTGTGGAAAATGGGATGGCAATAATCAGCCAGTCAAAAGAGTGCAATTAGGACCTGCAAGTATTGGGATAATGGTGGTGCTGCCACTGCTGTGTAAGTGTTACATGATTATTCTATTTCACAAAAGAAACAATTGAGTTTTTGTTAAACCTCAGATCCACTGACCAATGTGATGCTACACTTTTGATAGTAAATACCAAATGTGTTAGCACATCTTAATTACTGGTAAAGAAATTTTTAGGTTCCACCCTTTCCTTGTTGTAAGAAGCCCATTGATCCATCCATCGATTCCTTCTGTCAGATGCCTGAACCACCTCAACTGGCTCCTTTCGATGTGGAGGAGAAGCGGCTGTATTCTGAGTAGGGATGGGTATTGATAAGATTTTCACGATTCCAATTCCATTTTCGATTCTGTTTAACAATTCGGTTCTTTATCGATTCTCTTATCGATTCTTTTTTTTAAAAAGGAGAACACTAAGGTCGATTAGCTTAGAATTTTGTTTTATATCTTCTCTTTGAACAAGATAGAAATTTAGGAGTAGCATGGCCTTACAAACCCAACAGTGAGATCTTAAGAGATGCAGCCTACGGCTCTTCAATGTGGTGTCACAGGGTCCCTGGGGAAAAAAATTGTAAATGTAAAATAATAAAATAAATATTCGTCTGTAGCAATAACAAAGTATAACATAAATTATTCTGTAGCAATTACACAAGAATATGCAGTAATGTCCCTGCCTACAATTAAACACATTCACTTACCGAAAAGCAGGGGCATCTGCTGTGGCAAATAGATGTTTGCCACTGCTCTGTGACATTAGTCTATCCTGGCCTGAAAGGAGACGCTACCGGTAGACTGCAGTGAGAACTGCCAGTGAGCGCCAGCCAGACTCTGTCTTTCTCATCATGGTGCAGCGCACAGTAATGGCAGGTTTTGTATTAAGGCAGATCGCGCTAACATAATATGCACTGTTAGTTGATTATTTACCTGCCGCATTAACAGGAGAGGACGTGCAAACGTTACCGCTGCTGCTGAGTTGAGATTAACGAGTCTGGAGCGGAATTAAAAACACGACATTCATTTAAGGTTATCGTGTGTTTTGTGAGCAAATGCTTTTGCATATTCGTAGTGTTTCCTCCTTTAAATGAAATATCTACTTTGCAAGTTTTGCAAGTTGCCCTGTTGTCATCCGTTCTCATAAAGTATAACCAAACTTTTTAGCGTTTGAGCCACTTAGGCACCGTGTTTCCTGCCAGGTAAATGACGCTCCGCAACGTGGTGATGTCATTCGGGGCGACTGGAATTGATAAGGGAATCATTTGCAAAAATGGCAAACAATTCCATGGAATTGAAACAGTGGGAACCGGTTCTCAACAAGAACCACAACAAACAACAAACAGGTCCGCATCACTGGAGTTGGAGCACCAATTCGTCCCTTCTCCCGTCATTTATGAATAAGACTCCAAGGCTACGTTCACGCTGCAGGTCTTAATGCTCAATTCCGATTTTTTTGATCAAATCCGATTTTTTTGTCTGCTTGTTCACACTACAAATAAAATGTGACCGCAAACGCGCTCTAGTGTGAACCCTCAAAGCGGCCCGCATGCGCAAAAGAAGATTTCACACACAACGCGCTCTGTTTAGATCCAGACCAAAAAATATTGTTTGACTGTTGGCCCTTAATATAAAGACTGGTTTCGGACTTTACGTTTCCCAGTTTTGCTTTAAGTTATAAAGTTATTTTGTTATTTACATATGGCCCAATAATTATCCTTATTGCTGTTTTAGAGAGGAGCGGTGCTTCAAATGATAGTTGCTGATTTCTGTCAGAATCTGCAGATTATACAGTACAAATAAAATTTTCACGTTTCTCCAACGCTGTCTTCCCAACTGTTTCACTAACATCTACACGGGATGGCCAGGAAGCATTTGCGATGTCTTCTCGGGCGCTTCTCCGGCACTGATAATTGGCGTCTGTCTTGTGTCAGTGACATAAAAGACAGATTTAATGCGACATGACCATTCAAACAGCAGTCGCTTTCTAAAACATCAGGTATGTATCGGATTCAGTACCACATACGAAAGTGACCCAGATCGGATGATTTGAAAATATCGGATTTGTGCCGTTCACACTGTCATACCATGATCGGATATGGGTCGCACAGGGTCAAAAAAGTTGGATTTGCTGCACTTACGCCTGCAGTGTGAACGTAGCCCAAGATACTTGAACTCCTCCACTTGGGGCAGGAACTTGTCCCCGACTCAGAGTGGGCACTTTTCCTGCTGAGGACCAGGGCCTCAGATTTAAAGGTGCTAATTCTCATTCCCACTGCTTCACACTCGGCTGCGAACCGTTCCAGTGCGAGCTGGAGGCCATCACCAGGTGAAGCCAAAAGAACCACATCATTCGCGAAAACGCAGAGATGAGATTCTGAGACCACCGAAGTCAAAGCCTTCCGTCACTTGGCTGTGCCTATAAATTCTATCCATAAAAATTATGAACATAATTGGTGACAAACAGCAGCCCTGGCAGAGCCTGTCACCCACCAGGAACTAGTCCGACTTATTGCCTGCTATGCGGACCAAGCTCTTGCAACGGTTGTATAAGGATTAAATGGCCCGTAGCAATGGGCCACACACCCCATACTCCTGGAGCACCCCCCACTCTGAGGGACACGGTCGAATGACTTCTCCAAGTCCACAAAACACATGTAGACCCCCATGCACCTTCAAGGCAAACTCCCATGGACCCTCAAGTATCCTTGAGAGGGTAAAGAGCTGGTCCAGTGTTCCACGACCAGGACGAAAACTGCATTGTTCCTCCTGTATCCGAGGTTCGACTAACGGACGGACTCTCCTTTCTAGCACCCTGGCATAGACTTTCCCAGGGAGGCTGAGGAGTGTGATCCCCCTATAATTGGAACACACCCTCTGGTTCCCTTTCTTAAAGGTGAGAACCACCCCCCCCCCCCGGTCTGCCAATCCCGAGGTACCACCTGATTTCCATGCAACATTGTAGAGGCATGTCAAACAGGACACCCCTACAACATCCAGAGCCTTCATCAACTCAGTGCAGACCTCTTCTACCCCAGGGGCTCTGCCACCAAGGAGTTGTTTAACTGCTTCTGTGACCTCGCCCCCAGAGATAGGCGGGTCATCCCCTTTGTCCCCAGACTCTGCTTCCTTTACGGAAGAAGTGCCAGTGGGATGGTCGAGGACGTCCTCAAAGTATTCCTTCCTGCCCCACAATTTTCTCAGTCGAAGTCAGCAGTGCTCCACCCGCCTTATACACAGTGCAGGTAGAGCACCGCTTTCCCTTCCTGAGTCGCCTGATGGTTTGCCAGAATTTCCAGACAGTCTGAAATTCTTTGGCCTCTCCAAACTCTTTCCAAACCCAAGTTTTTCAGCCACTGCTTGAGCCGCGTTCTGCTTGGCCTGTCGCGTTCTGCTTGGCCTGTCGGTACTTATCGGCAGAATGCTGTTGAAGCTCTACCAGAGGTGTGCGTTGAAGATCTCGCAGACTGGGGCCTCTGCTAGGTGTTCCCAGCACACCCTCACTATACTTTTAGGTGCGCCACATCTGTCCAGTGTTCTCCCCCGCCATCTGATCCAACTCACCGCCGGGTGGTGATCATTTGACGGCTCATCCCTGCAGGTCTGGTGATGTGATTACAAAATCGGCCTGCAGCCTAGAGCATCCTGGTGCCATTTGCACTTATGGACACTCTTATTTTCGAACATGGTGTTCGTTATAGCCAAACAGTGGTTTGTACAGAAATTCAAGAACAAAACACTGCTTGGGTTCAGATCCGGGAGGCTGTTCCTCCCAGTCACGCCCCTCCAGGTCTCACTGCCGTTGCCCACATGAGCATTGAAGTCTCCCAATATGACAACATAGTCCCCAGGCGGAGCACCCTCCAGCACCCCACCCAGGGAATCCAAGAAGGCTGAGTACTCTGAACTGCCACTCGGCATATAAGCACAGGACCTATTCCTCGACCCAAAGGCTCAGGGAACAAACCCTTTTGTCCACTGGGAGAAACCCTAACAGGCAGGCAGCAAGCTGAGTAGATGTTAGAATACCCACCCCAGCCTGCCACCTCTTACCAGGGACAACTCTCGACTGAGACAGAGTCCAGCCCCTCTCCAGGAGACTTGTTCCAGAGCCCACACTGTGCATTGAGGTGGGCCCGACTATATCTCACTGGTACCTCTCAAACTCACTAACTCAGGCTCCTTCCCCGCCATAGAGGTGCCATTGCATGCCCCAAATGCCAGTCTTGGTAGCCGGCGATTGGTCCGCCAGGGCTTGCTCTCCTGGCCTGACACACAATGCACCTGACCCCTATGATGCCTCATGCGGGTGGTGGACCTGCAGGAAGATTGGGGGGGGGGTGTCTTAAAAACTGTGAAATAATGCCTTTCTAATAAACCACATTTTAAAGCTTAAACTCTGTCTAAAACTTATTTGTTTTCCAGGTTTTTTTCTGTTTCTGATCTTCTGCCACTATAAAAAGGCACTGAGAGATTTGTCCCCTGCAAATATGGTCAGGTTTAAAGATCCTTCAGCAACAGCCCCAGAATACACCACCCTTGCTGTGGCTACGGAAAGTCTGAATTCTGGGACAGTATTACACTCAGGTGAGTGGCAAAGGCTCAACTGATGTCCAATGGAAAGAAATACGCGAAGGACAATTTGTTAGTTATTGTATTGAGGACTCAGGTTACTCTGCTGACTCTTTGCCTTTTGGGGTCAGACCGTTACCTTTAGTTTCTCAAAGACCTCAGACCAAAGTTCAAGGTTCTTGCAGGGTTGTACAGAAGCAAATAAATAAATAAATAAAATTACAAATACATTAAATAAATAAATAAATAACCCTTCTAATAGCAAATTAATGGTGCATTCTGTCATGACCCCTTGTTTTGGTGTTTGATTCCTGTTATGAATTCTTCCTTAATATTTTTAGCCTAGATTCCTGTTCACAAAGTTTTCTGGTTTGCTGTTTTGGTTTGGTTGTAAAGTTTTGGTTTTTATCCATTGTGTTTTGGGATCCTTGATTTTATGGTTTCATTATTCTTATAGATTATGAGTCTTAGTTTTGGTAATATTCAGTTGCTTATTATTTTACTTGGTGAGTTCCAATTATAACTTTTAATTTAGTGTCACCCTGATTGTCCTGATTCTTTCCACCTGTCTGGCTCCTTGTGTTTCCCTTTTCAGTACTGTAAACCTTTCATAATTTTGCACTTCTGTTACCTTATTTACTTTTTGGAACTTATTATTGACAGTTGTGGTGGATTTTTGTATGATATGTATAACTATGTAACTATATACACTATATATCTATGTGCACTGAACATATATATTTTAACTTTCATGTACAGTCTTAAGCACAAGACATTGTACTTCACCAAGGTTTATTAAGGTGGTACAGTTACAGGGCAGTTAATGTAAGGGGAGAGTTCTCCTGATTAATTTACTCTCCCGTAACTAACCTTCCCTAATACACCCTCAACGTCATTCATGCATCACAACCAAAACAGTAACATTGTAACAGAGATCCTGAACACATCATGATAAAATATCATATGATATAATCACACACACACACACACACACACAC